TGAATGCGCGATTGAGTTCAGTTTGAAGTTCATACAGTGAAGTAAATAGTCATTGCTTTTCAAAGCATGGTTAATTGTACGATAACGATCATAAAACAAATATTTGGAATGTCTGACTCGTTGCTTTAGTCTTCTATCAAATAAAAAATACGAGAAGATGAAAAGCGAAATATAAAAATCATTCCATGTCAGCAATTCTTGTGAAATTCCACATTTTCATAAATATCCAACATGTTTTGTGTTCCACTAACTTTTTTTTATATTATTTCTTTTCTGATTGATTCATTTCTCTTGCTTATTTCCTTTCGATCTTATTTCGCTGGTAATTTTATAACAAGCGCAGAATTTATACTTACTTGAGCTTACTTCGAGAAGAAAGAAAGAAAAAAAAGAGAAACCTCGGTCTAATTACAATGAGTTGTGGCTTTTCTTCTTTCGGCCCGAAAATATGTTTTTTATAAAACCATGCGGCTGAAAAATGTGTTTCACTCTTGAAACACCCAACAAAACAAAATGCCTTTCAACGAATTTCGCCTTGATTGAGTGATAAAAGAAATGTTTGGACTCGCGAGTTAATTTTCGATTTCAAAATATTTCAATCATTTTCTTCTTCATTGATTTGCCTGGCAAATGTGAAGCGTAGAGATGCTTTTAAGCGTTTACTTGGTACGCTATCGCAATCACTCAGCAGCATCGCTTAAATAAATCGCTCATCAGCGGAAAATAAGAATGAAAAAATGTTAAGAAAATTACGGTTTAATGTGGTGAGAGGAGAGATGCGCAATGGAAGATTCTGTTGAAATATTTATTGGAGAATTTGTGGCATTTCGAAATTAACTTGTCGTAGCTATGTCCATGAAGTCTTAAAATCAACATTCTCGTCGATGAAAACATTCTAAAATTGCTTTCTGTATCGTTTTGTCGTCTCAATCGCGTAGGAAAGCGACGCTCAAACACTTCATAAATAAATTCGTTCATTTTCGGCCGCTTCAACTCGCTTGTTCGAACAAAATACCAAAGACACGAAAACTTAATTATTTTTCCATTTTTTCTTTTATTTTCTATTTTTCCAACCACTCTAATGTTTATATATCTCTGTTATGGAAATGTAGACAGCATGAAGGCAGAATTAGTTTTTCATTTGTACAACGCTAAGGAAAACAGAAAATAAATCGGTGATCTACTATTTTGAATTATCGCAAGCATCATCGTCTGCTTGAGAAATCTCATCTCTTTTCAGGTGGATGACTTGTATCTCAACGTCTTTCATTCTCAACCCGTCACCGATTTTTCATGTTCTAATTTTCATTTCAGATCTTAATATAGAACTCATCTCGGAAAAAATTTCATTTCATCTCATTCATGCTAAGACGTTTTCATGTGCATGACGCTAAACATAAATAAATAAATGTTTTTGTTCATCTTTCTCGTTTTTTTTTGCTTACACTTTCTCATGAAAATTTATTTTTGTCTTATCATAATACAATGTAGGGCTGGGAGGTGGAGTTGTACATGCAATGCGTCACTTACAATTAATCTTATTATTGAGATTATTATTTAAATAGTCTCTGACTATTGGTAATGTTGAAATGTCGTCTTAGGGAGCTCATGAAATTGTTGAGCTATTCCCGAGAAAGTCGAGATGATCATTTGGTTACAAAAACATTCAAGAGATATAACTCAAACATAATCTAAGATTTACAAGACACAGATACGAGAAGTTAAGCAATGTTATGTTTTTCTTCTTTGTTATTTTTATAATCACCGTCTGGTTTTCGCTGTTATTCGTGCTGGCATTTATGTATGATGTGTGAGAGATTTTCATTCTGAGAAGATAAATGTCACATGATTTCATGTGATTTTTCTCACTTCAAATATCCTAAGCTTAACATGGCATATTGCGGCAAAAAATAAGATTTGTTGATGATTTATAATAATAATTTGTATGTAGAAACTAATTGGGATTTTATGTTACATCGAGCAGTGCATGTGTATGCAATTTACTTCAATGATAGAAATCAAAATCTGTCATTGAACTAAGAACACAAAGTCGTAATTAATTTCACTTCATTTTCTCTTTTTCCATGATTTATCAAGTGAGAAGTTTGTATGACTTTTCAAGGTGAAAATCCCTTTTGAATTATGTTTTCACATCTATCTTATATTCAATGCTGTATTAATTACATTAATCAAACAGCAAGCGAAACATTCGCTTCAACAAATAACGATGGAAATCTACATGTTGCTATTGCACATTCAATTTGCATGTTGGTGAAGCTATAATTATTATTTTATTTAAATAACAAGATGCAACAGGAACTCACGTATATGTAAGTGCTGAAAACATTTTTCATTCACCAACATCCACGTCGTCAGGGAGTGAAATAAAAATTATTTCGGAAGCGAGCAACAATTTGCAGTGGATTAAAACAAAAAGAAATGTGAGAAAGAAACTTTTCATAAAAAAATATGAATATGAATGCACAGAGAAACGTACATCAACAACAGTTCGCATAAAAATTTGCATTTAACGCTTCATGTGTGTTTTACCAGCTAATTAATTAGAAACAGTTTTCACGGTAAACTTGGCATGGTGCGCGAGAAACAAATTTACAATGCTATGCTACGCTTTACGCGAGGAAGCAAGAGAGACAAATTATTATGCATTAAGTTGCTGCTTGTTGTTACCACGTTATTTCTTTTTCTCCTTTCACGGTTTTTGCCCATTAAATTGTAATATTATTACAACGTTGTTATTGCAATGCCAACTTTCAACGCAGCAACCTATTTACGTATGTATGCCTGAGCTGGAAGAAGTTAAAAAGACTTCCAATTTCAATTTCTACACAACATAAATCACACACAATAAGGAGAGTAAAATGAAAATATTAAACAATAAATTACGATCGAAATATTGAAGTCAATGAGAGAGCGAAACATGAAATAAATCGAAATCAAATTTGTTGCATATTCTACCGTGAAATCGCAGATACTGTGCTTGTTTGAGTGGCATGTTATATTGAGATATGCGAAGGGAGTAGAAAGAGTGAGTACGTCTACGAACTGCGGCCGAAGGTGAAGTAAACCACACAAATCGCTTTCAATCGAACAAAAAAAAAGAAGGTTTTCTTATTCTTTCATTTCATTCGCATTGTTGCTTTACTTTTTTACTCTCCATGCTTATGAATAAGCAAATTTTAAAGAAAAATATGTTTCGAGTTGTGGTTTTAATATTTCTTCATGATTCTACCGCCACATATATTCGCACAGGGCTCCAAAGTGCAAATAAAAATAAATCAAATTGTTAACAAGAACTCGAGATTTCTTTCTTCAACAGCTCCTTCTTCTTCTTCCGACTTGTTCTTATGTTTTATTTTATTTATTTTTTTTTGCTTGCCTTCGTCGTTGATTTTTTTTATCGAAGTCGTTTCATAAAAGACTGGAGAACTACACAAGAATTTAAATTTAAAGTGAAATTGAAATAACATAGCGAAAAAAAATATGAAAATAAAAACAACGACATAACAAGATGAACATCAAACAGAAACAAGAAATGATTCAGATTGAATTTGATTAAAAAGTTGTAGATACGAGAAAAAGGCGAAAAGAGAAGTTTTGATTTGGATTTTTAATTTCTTTTCGTGTTTTATTTTATTCTTTGAAGAATCTTAATGTTACATGAAAACTCGTTCAGAGTTATTTGTTCTTCTAAATATCTAATAAGTTGATGTCTTTAAAAATTACTTTTCATAATTTCCTTTCGCGCATCACGTTGTGTTGAATACTTTTTTTGCAACTGGAAAAGCAGTTTAGAAGAATGAAACGAGAACACCTGGTGTGACTTTATGTGCTTCAAACTTCCTTTCGAGTAGAGTTTGATGTTTCTAAGAATTTTTTTCCTCGCTTTTCATGCGCATAAAACTTCAATAAAAAAAGATGAAAAAAAAATCGGTAAATTAAGCAAACTAAGTTTGTGCTGTTATGTTCCATTTGAATTTTTGATTATGAAAAAGAAATAACATGTTTTAAGTAATGAGCGAATGACGATGCCGTGGCTATAATTCTTCGACATTCAAACTAATGAACAGAATGCTCATAGTTCAACGTTTTACGGTCGTTTCTCTTCCTCGATCAAAGAAAAATTTGAATTTTAAATTTCGTAAATAATTCGTGTTGTTGACCAACAAAAGCCAAAGTAAATGCTCATTAATTTAATTAGAAGTAAACCGTAAGGCGATAATCGACTCCTCGCCTTTAGCATAATGAAACACGTTTTTATCTCGCCTTACTTAACCTGAACAGGGATGGCTCGATAACGAAATCATTATGCCACCTTTTGTATACAATTTTTTTGTTGTTGTTGTTTCCTTGTCTCTTTTTTTACTTTTCACTTGGTTGACTTGAAAGCCAACACGACAACCAACCAAATATATTTATTCATTTAATTGGACAAATATCTAAAAGAGTTTGTTGTATGGAAATAAAAGTCGAGAGTGGTAGAAGGAAAAGAAGAAAAAACAGAAATAAGCGAACAAGCTTCGAGAGACGAAAATAAATTAAAACTAACAACTGCAAACAAGCAATTTTGATCGGATTAGTGTGATAAGTTTCGATGTTTTGAACGCGCGCTCATGAATATTGAAGATGATGAGTTTTTCTGTTCATTTTGGTGGCTTAAGATATGAATCAGCAACTAACATGATACATGGGAGTATTTTGCATTTTTTCCCTCTCTATTTCTTCTTTTTTTAACTAACGATATTTTGATTAGCATTTAATATTAATTATAATAAATTATCTTTTATTATAAACAAACAGACATTTGTCTTGAGCTTTTCATCTTCTTACTTTTATATTATTTTTTTGAAACGAGAACTTAATTTATTTGACAATATTAAAATATTTGAATGACCAATTGTCGATGTCTGTTTTCTGGCTGTTAGTTTTAATTTATTTTTCTTCATTTATTGACATACTTGTTAAATACAGTGGAGATTCTCTCAAGTGTTTAATCGCTGCAAATTAGTTTCTGCTTTAACATGATTAAGAATTTCTACTGAACTAGTTGTTTCCAAACGAATGTTTCCAGTTGTTAAACATAAAACGCTCGTTTTGTTTTCTCTTTAATAATCGCTTCAAATTATTCAAATATCGGTACAAAAATGGTCATGAAAACATGTCGCTTTCCTTCTTCTCCCCGTCCACAGCACAACACAGCACAGTAAAAGGAGACGATGATTTAAAAATGTCAACTTTTCGTATAATTCAAGCGAAGTGAATTCTAATTAAAATTCGAGACGAGACTCTTATAGTTGTGTATCGACCCCGAAGTGAATAATGTGGAGAAATTGTTTATCATGAACAAGACACAGATGTGCCAACATCGTCAAAACAATTTTTACTTTGTTCCGTAATTTTAACTCATTTCAACATCACGGCAAATAAATATTTAAACGATGAAGAGTGAAGAAACAAAATTTTAAACATTTGGCGATTAAATTCGAATAAATCTTTCTTTGCTTCTCTATGAAATTCATCCGTGCAATAAATAAACAAATAGCGAATAAAATCATTTTTATTTCTACTTGAGGGTGAACACCAAACCAGGAAAAAGTGTCAAATTTCCTCGTAGACATGAACTGTCGATGACTAATGAGACTTTTCAGAAGTGAGAGTCGAACGAAATTGCTTTCATTAATCATGCAGAAAAAGCCCATTTTGGCGAGAGTCGAGTTTAAATTTTTGTGTAATTTCAAACACTAATCAGAAACGCCATCCAATAATATTTCGGTCGAGATTCGAGAAGCGTCAGGTTGGAAATATCCGAAATCGCTTTTGAGACACGTTCGACGTTTGCTTGTCAATAAATAAAGTTGCAGAAGAAATTTTAGATTTTTGTCACTTTACGTGTTTGGGCTGAAATTTAAAACCAACATATTGAGTACAACAAATTGGCTTCGAGCCATGTAAATTAATATTGAACGATTTATCACCAAGTTCGAACGAGTTGAATGAACAATGTCGAGTCTCAATTTCGTTCTTTCTTCATTTGCTTTCCTCCTTGTTTTATTTTTTTGCGTGTTCATTGGAAGGGCTTCGCACTCATTGTGTGAACTCTCTGCACATTTTACATTTTTGTGAGATGAAGTTTTGTAAAGAATCGAGATGCGGGCACTGTGCATGATGTAACTTAATATTTTGTCAGAACTGATTTATTGGGTGATTTGTTTATTTCTGTTCTTGTTCAAAACATGCAAATGATCTACTGTGATGGTATCTGATTCATCACCTGCATGTTCCTTCTTCTAGGTTCATTCGCAAGTGAGATTCATAAATTTAAGAGAAGAGATAAACATGGAAAAATAAAACCACAATAATGCAAGTCTTGATCAGAGAAATTTTATTCCAATTTCCTGCTGTTGAAGTTCGAAATTAATATTTTTGTGAGTTGAGATTTTCAATTTATTAAACACGCGTTTTGGTTGTTAAAGATACAATCACGTCGATGATGTCACTTTATTCATTTCCACCCTTTGTTTAGGCTTTCAATCTTGGTGCTATTGGAAGAGTCGTTGGAAGGGAAATTAAATTTATGCCATTGACGAAAAGTTGGTTTGACGTGAAAGTTAATGCTTAGCAACGTTATTAGTTTGTTGAAAATTTCTTTTATTCAGTTCTTTGAAATTGAGAGTGCAGAGGAAATTTCTTTTTGAGTCGTGTCTGCAGACATTTCCTTAGTCTGCGTTTTTCATTCATGGTATTGATGTCCTTAATGCTCCATCATTAATATTATGCTTTTCAGATCCTTTTTGGAGAAAGTTACGTAAGAGAAATGCCTTAAAACGATCTAAAGAATGTCTTAATCACAATCTGGGTCAAAGAATCTAATAGCAGGCGACAAGCGAGTGAAAAAGAAAGGAAAAAACATGATAAATTGCTGCTCATTTTCCGTTCAATCTTTCGTAAAGATCTGAAAATTTGTGCATGTTTTGGCAATAAAGAAAATTTCGTCATTTACAAAAGGAATTTTGCTTAAGTTTTCAAACATTCGTGCTAATGATGCGACTTGATATTGATTAGAAATAATTCAATAAAATTGAAAAGTTTCCGCTTGGGTCATTCGTTAATGAATATGCATTAGGAAAGTAATTTGTTTGCTAGGAGAGAAGTCGTAAAAGTAGAATTGAAACTAGAAATTCCATTAAATCCCACTTAGCCCCCTAACATGCAATCATCTCCTTAATTATTCATAACGATTTCGCAAATTTTATGTCCCTTTCTTTCAATCCAATCCAGTCTTGCTGTCGTCCGGCACTCGAATGTCGTGCGTCGCAACAAATGACAAAGACACCCACTTAATGTATCTCTTGATTTATGTCTCATGTCGTAGTTTCAGCATTTTCTTGCCTCAAAATTATAAACATGCTAATGTAGGAAGTTGAAATGTGCTTTTTTGCTTCTTATTATCGCAAGGGTTCTTTGTGACTGTTTTTGTTCCTTCTTTTTTTTTATGATATGATTCAATGTGAATTATTCGCCTTTATTTTGTATGTCTATTAAACTTTAATGGCTTGCTGAGAAGAATGGCACAACATTGATCAAATGCGTCGCTTAATGAACCATGGGAGTTAAGTTTTTGTCTCGTTCAATTTCATTTGATATTCTTACACAATCCGAGAATTGAGACCTTAATCATCTTCCAAAGAAATAAAAAAAGATAAACTTTTCAATAAACTTAAATCCCTGTTAGTCTGTTCTGTTCCTGGGAGAAAATAATTTACATTTTCCTTGCGCAATTTCTTTATTTTTATACCCGCAGGATATTTCCAGCATTTCAATAATAAAAAAAAAAAGGTTCTTCACTTATCAACCCTCCCCTCCTCTGAATCTTGAGTACAACATAGAGGGATGAAGACAAAACACTCTGTCTTAATGACTTTCTAAACAAGAAGAGTGTGCACCGCTCGATGCATCATTAACTTTTCGCACGCTCTCAAGCAATATTTTTTATTTTATTTGATTTTATTTTGGCATTAAAGGATCGAGGAAAAAAAATATTAAATCAAATAAATATCCCGAGATAGCATATGAACGCATTTAAACTAGCAGACTTCTTTTTTATTTTTGTCAGTGACGCTCACTTAACGAAGGGTTCGGAGTTCAAATGCAAAATGTGTTTTTAAATACTTTGCAGTCGCACATCGATTGTTGTTGCTTCATATTTTATTCCTCATACAATGTTCGTTGTTTATTTATAGATTTTTCCTTGCATAATTTATGACTTACACCATCAATGATATTAACCAGGAGACAAAAATATTTTATTATGGGAAAATATTTGCGGAATTATTGAGAATTTTATAAGCACGAGAGAAGAAAATCCGTTAAATGATTTGGGAATTTTTTTATTACTGCGACAAAACGCGTTGAATTAAAAATTTATTTCAAACAATTCACGATTATCTCCAGAGTATTAAGAGGCAGTTGTAAAATACACTCGAAAATTGTAGATAAGAATCAGAATCGTTTGAATAGCTTAAACCTCGATGAGTCCATCAAATTCGAATGGATAAATGCTATCTAGTTGAACCATAAATCAATTACACAACTTTTATAGTTCTCAAATAAAATAATCATGCGAACAATAAAAAATTTGAAAAAGAAAACAACTTTCAATTAAAACTCGCGAGTGTCTTGTGAATCGTTGAGACACTAAAATTGATGGCATGACAGTGTCTCAGTCTGTTGTACTCAAACGATACTTATTAATATTTTTTGGTGCTTCGACACTTCTTTTTTCGTCGTTCGTCTCCCGCAGCTATTAATTTATATTGTTTTATTGTTCCTGCAACGATGATTAGAATCATAATTTATATTGATTTATTGGTGCCATTTTGTACACATTTTGTTTTTGTTTAGAATAATTTTACATATACACATGGATCGATTCACATGAGAAAATTTCTCATTTCGTTGTCACATCATGCGGGCTCCAACGACGCGCTTTTGTTTCCACAATTGGAAGAGAAAGACAAAACGGATAAATGAGAAAGTCATTAATCATAAGCTGCTTCTTTCGCTTCTCAATTACGTGTTTGAACACATGAAAAACGATAAAAGAGAAACAAAAAGCGATATTAAGACGAAGCTTAATGCTTACTAATGTAGATAGAAGGCAGAAAACTTATCCAATTGATCAGAATTTACTAAGCAGCTAGTGTGAAATTGCCAAAAGCCTTTTTCGTCTTTTTGTTAGTCGAACGAATTATTATAACAGTTAAGTTGATGAAGTCATGTGGCGGAAACGCAAACTTTAAGAAACACTCAACGCTCATTAAGTGAAGCGGAGATTTCTTTGATTCCAATAAATTCTCATTCAATCGATATTAAATTAATTGTTTCGGTTTCTCTGTCGCTTAGATTCTCCACCCACACAAACAATATTCTATTTCGTTCATCTTCATTCTGTATGTATAAAAATGTCGACAGACTTAAGAATTAAATAAGATAAGGTCAACGGTCTAACCGATTCATAAACTTTGCTTTCTTATTTTTATCGAAGAAATAAATGAAATCTCATCTTTAAGAAATTCTGTCCCTCAACTTGATCTTTTTTGTGATACTTTGAGGAAGAATAAGAAGACAGAGAAAAAGGGTTATCACCTTCACAATCAATTCAAAAGAAACAATTTTAAATGTGATTTATGTCTGTGGAAAGATTCATTCGAGAAATTCATGATTAAGGATTTGGATGATAAGAAACGTTTGTTTCTAAATCGGTTTATTCTTTTATCAGCTTTCTTTTTATCGTTCAAGAAAGTGTCGTAAATCTACTTACAAAATTTTAGAATGTGAGAATGAGAACATTTATTGAAATGTTTACATATTGCTCAAATATAAAAGTTTTAAATTCCAATGTACGGGAAATACTTTTTTCTGTTATTTCAAGTGATCATAAAAATTTCAATTAATTTTCAGCTTGTGATGTTATAAAAATAAATTGCAATTTGATTTTCACATTTATCTCTTTATTCAAGAGACAGAGAAATAAAGTTTCTGTCTTTATCACCAACAAAATCGTTAAATACTTGTTTAATTGATTCGCTATAAAATTTTAAATTACTCCAGTACTGAGAAGCACGAGACAACATCGACTACGTTGTCTTAATCCACTTAAGCAGAGGTGTTTTAATTGACAACTTAATGACTTCAAAATCATTTACGTTTGTACTGTTGCACGCTGTAATCATCATCATTATCATCAACAACATCGTCAGAAGTAAAATTGTTGGAAACTTTTATTTCATTTCGAGTATAATCTTGTGAAAATGAACTTCATAGATAAAAAAAACTGTAATAAAAGAAAGATCTTCTGCTCTCGTATGTTGCGCTTCCTCCATCGCTTTCCCAACATAATTAAATTTAAATGGAATTTTAATTGCTTCATCTGTCCCATGCAAGAATCATTTTTTATCTTTGGAATTACCTGCTGAATATGAAAGCGCAAGCAGTTGAAAAACTGTCCGAAACGTACTTTGCCAAATCGTTTATTTTGCCATCCTTTTTTCAGAGATATTTTTCATCTGACTATGTGCTTTCATAATACATTAAACTTAACAACGTCTGGCTCATAGGGAAGAAAAAAAATGCAGCTAAAAGCATAAAATAAATCATCAGACCATATTGAACGACAATTTTCCAATAATGACCGCTGAACTATGTTGTTTATGTTATTACATCAGATAAATCCATTAACGTTATTATGGTTATTACCGCATTCAACTTTCGGCCCTCGACGATGATAAAAGTAAACTGATATTAATTTTTATTACATCATTTTTCAGTTCACTGTTGTCTCTTATCAAAGTTTACAAAAAAAAAGACGAGAGAGAAAGACTGCGTAACCAAATACGAATAAACAAATGACGTCGACATGACTGTTGTAAAACGAGCGAAATCATAAATGTTTGTAGACTTTCAGACTAAAAGCAAACAAAAACTAATCTACTCAAGCTTTGGTAATGGAAATGGCATGCAAAAAACATGAAAAGCCACAAAAAGTTTTCCTTTTTGTGGATCCTTTCGTCACTGAATGAACAGAACAGAACAGAACGACAAGCATCATCGACATTCCTTGTTGACTCATTTATCTCATCATGTGCGCAATGAATTCAACCGTAATAATTGAAATTTTTAATTAAACGGAATCCCTGCTTATGCACATAGCGGAAAATTAATTTTTAATTGCAAATATATTTTATTTTGTTTCTATCACAAGAAGAATTTTTTCCCATCATCCGTTTCTGTGGTTTTGGTTGTTGTTGAGACGACTCATTTGCTTGAATTCGAGTGGAGCTTTCATTCCATCTCAAATAAAAAGCGAATTTAAATGGAAATTTTGATATTAACACGTTTTATTGTTTGCACTTTTATGTTGTCTTTTTTTTTTGCATATTTTCAGGAACGACACAGATGGATGAGACGAATGAGTTGATACAAATTTAAATGAAACAAATTTTCCAATTTATTTCCTATCCCCAAGTCATAGTTGAATTTTGTTGGCCACTAAAAGTCAAACCAAGCAAAGATAAAACGTTCAATCACAACATGTTGCCGTCATAACCATGGCTGGATATGCGAGTGTATGAAGAAACGTTCTTTGTGTTGTGAATGCGAAAAGGATGTCCTGACAGTTGGTGGTACATTCACAGAGAGTGTCGAGGTAACGAGAAGAAGAAAAATATTTGAAAATATTGAAAAATTTATTCAATTTTAACGCACCGAGAACTCATCTCAAAATCATTCGATCATCTCAGTTGGGGATTTAATTTTTTTTTTGTACAAAACGAAGCAGAAGGCGAAGGGGAAGAAAAAAAATTGAAGCTGAGAAGAAACCAGATATTTGAAGCCTCAAGAGAACGAGATTGATTGATTGAAACGTTTACGACAAAATACGCTTTTGGCTGGTGAGTCTGTCTATAAAACAATAAATTTCTCATTTCAAGATTTCATTTTTTCATCTTGCTGTGTAGTTTTAAAAAAATGACAGCCTCATTTTGTCGATTGATTGTTCCTTTATGTTGTTTAGTTTTCTTCTTCAGCTCTTGATTTGTCTAACAGGAATTTGTCTGCTTTGTTTTTTTTAAAGTTCTTGCTAGAAAAAAAAAACGTTAAAGGTGAAGTTTATAAATAATGTAAGAAGAGAAATAAATATTTTGGGAATCGTCTTTCAACAGAATGCATAAAGTAGTTTGATGCATGAAACGTTACTGAACATGTCAATCAACAGAACTTTTCGGTGTTGTAAATGAGAAGATAATTTTGTTACTTAACCATTAAAGGTTTCCCTTTTCCAACCTAGCTGAGCTGAGAAGCAGCGTGAAGAGTTGTTAGAAGAGAGAGAAAGACAAGAGTAAAATATTAGACAGTTGAAACGTGAATAAATTAGAATCGCGCTTTCAGCAGTGCAGAGACAGCGATGAACTGAAACCGGTTTATAAGGAAAGTAAATAAAAATATAACAAACATTAAGAAAATTTATTTCCATTCGTTGCTGTTTTTTTTCTTCTTTTTCGTTGTTGAAAAAATTGAGAAATTAATCATTCGAAATTAATTCGGGGCTATCAAGAGACAACAAACATCATTATGTGGTATTAAATGGTAAATGAATTGAATGAGGCGAAGAATTAATGACATTTTAAAGTTGTTATTTACGGTTTCTGTTGATTTTTATGGAGTTGGAGTTTGTTTCGCGTTGGATTCCCGTCGCTGTTACTATTGTTCTTAAAAACTCATTAAAATCCCTCAAGGGTAAAGCTGAACCTCCAAAAGTGTGTTCTTGTAGTTTATGAGGTTTTCTTACACAAATAAGTGCGGCACTTTGTGATGGCTCACGTACTTGCTAGCTTCATCTTTCACTAGAATATTGAACATTGAATACAAAACTAAATTTTTGTGAGCGAACGGGGTTTCGATGAGACATGGAAAAGGCGGTGATTTATTTTAATTACTTTGCTTTTTAAACCTCATCGAGCATTCTCTTTGATATGAATCCACCCTAAATTTGACATTGATTGAAGAAATGTTCAAACAAAATCCCTTGTGACACAAGAAAAATCCAAAAAAAATATAATAACAAGCAATTTTGATTTGGTTTTACAAAATAGCAACTACAAAGCAATCTCCAACCCAAAAACCAGAACATTTAGATTTGTATAAATGAACCAAAATTATTCATTTAAATTAGATTGAGGATGAGCTTGAAAAGCCGAATAAAAAGTTTTTTTCCCTTGGAGATGAATGTTGATGAATGAAATCGAAGTCAAATACTCTTCCATAATTGTCAATCCACTCGACAATTGCGAGAATGATGCACCCTGAAAAGTACTCGCACAAGCTTCGCTAGTCAACTTTAATTAAATTCAATTGATTTTAATTAAATTTTTCGTTTCGTCTGAGTCCGATGACCAAAAAATCGTTTCCGTGAAAGCATTTAATGATCGTATGGGAATAGTGAAAGAGAAATAACATAAAATAAAAACATTAAAGACCTCGAGTATCGAACATTTAAAATTCAGAAGTGCACGGAACCTTAAAGTGATTTTTAATTAATGATTTGCGCCTTTGGAATAAATTCAAGTCTCGTTGCGTGTGTCGACGAATCGTTAAAATTTTGATTTTTTGAGGTTTTTTTTTCTTCTTCATTTCAATAACCGAAATTTTCTTCTTGTGGTTTTTGAAAGCTGAGACAATAACGCGATCAACCCAAGTAAAGTTTCTTCAACTTCGAAGGTGTTTTCAGCCTTAATCAAATTAAATAAAATGTTTAATAAAAAAATAAACACCCATAAATGAATAAATTTTAAACAAAATAACGAAATAAAAAGGCTTCGAAAAATAAATTCATGGCATCTCAAGTTACAGTCACAACGAACGAAATATTGTCGTTCGTTCTTTTATCGGATGAAGTCAATCGGTATTCTTATATTTTTTGGTAATTTTTATGTCCTCTCTCGCTTGCTTCATGTTTCTTTTTATTTTATCAAATTTTTATATTTTGTGATCAGACTCCCGTAGAGCACCGTGAATCAAGTTTAACATTTCTTCGTTCTCATAAGACGATGTGATGTTTGCCTGTTGCAGACACAAAACCAACGTCTTATGTTCATAACTTCACTTAATTTAACAGATTGCGAAACATGAATTTAATGTTAAAATACAATCTTTGCTGCTGTTGGTTGGATAAAAATAAAATGTTTCTCTGTGTATCAACGCAGCGTGAATTTTTCAATTAATCAAAGAAAGAAATCAATTGAAGGAAAAACGACAAAAATTCGTCTTTAAGTAATGTGAGTCGAAAAAGAAAAACATTCAACATTTCATTCGAAATCTTTTGAAGCGTAACTATGAAGTTTGATTTCCTTCTCTTCCTAAAAATTCACGACCAAGTCCGTAATCTAATCTGAAACACACAAAAAATTTTGTCGGCTCGTTAGCTCTCTCAAATTTCTTAGCTCGTTTTCTTTTATTTTAATTAACCTGAAACAGAAGAAACAAAATGGAAACGCGGATAAAGATTTGTGAAGTGTATAATGTTTTGTTAAGAAAACGATCTCAACTCATTAACCAGAAGGTTTTTTTTTATTCTTTCTCTTCTTTCTTGTTCTTTCATGGCCAGTGCTCACGACGTGATGTTGATAGAATGAATAAAAAGTTAAACCACAGCTCAACATCCCTGACATCTCTTTAGCGTTTTCTCGCTCTTTCTCTGTTTCTATCGTCTTTATGGAATGAATTCTCGTGAGGAATGATGTTCATAAACATAAATAAATTAATAAAATATACAATGAGACCGAGCACAACCGTCCAACACGACGCAAAGGAAACATTGTAATCTCAAAGACCACATGTAGATAGATAATATTGGTGTAAGTGGATCTCAAGAAAAAGATAATTTTTAAGCCTTTTTTTCCCTCTTCGATTCTTGATTTTCTCAATTTACATTCAACATTGCTTTTTAAGACGAAACTGCCAACAGACACGGTACATATTTTATAGCGAAAAAACAAAATTAAAGGAAAAACAACAACACAACACGAGAAAACAAACAAAGAGTAAGAATCGTGCTGTGCTGAATCAATTTTCAATTTTCGTTTCTTCTTTTTACTCGTTTTTAATTCTATCCTGAACAAGAAATGTTCCTTTAATTGTTAAAAAGCAAATTATTTCAATTCTCTCGTCTCTTGCACAACAAGCACCTTTGAATTCGAAATAAGAATAAAAGATTTATTAGATTGCATTAAATTTCTCATTTTGCAATATCGCGCCTTCAAGACTTATGTTTCTTAATTGATTTCTTTCTTCTCTTTCTTGGAAGTTTAAAAAATATCTTTTCAATGCAAATTATTTTTGAAAAGGTTAAAAGGGAGTTAAACGAAATCAGAGTGAAATGTCTACAATCTAATATTAATGAGATTAAGTGAAAAGTTTAAATTTTCATAGGAAACACGATCAGAATTTATTTTTAAGATTCAAAGTTTAAATCCGTGGAATTTATGATACCATACAATTCACCTCATTCTTCTTTCATCGCTTTTATTCTTCGGATAAGTATCTAACAACCCATCATCACAATAGATAAATTTCCTCGTTCCATGAGGGAATAAAACTTTGCAAACTTTCTTCATTATCATTGAAATAATTTTGCGATTTTAATAACGTGGAAGTGCACTCGCATAAATTTTCAGCAACGAAAGTCTCTTCATTGTTGCTATGATTTTTTCCCCGTTGCCCCCGACAATTTATTCATGAAGAATAAAAAATTTTAACAATCTAATTATTATTCCATTTGTATGCAATTTCATCTCGTGTTTTTTGCCCTCTCTCGAGAAAATAACGATCAAAAGCTATTTTCATTTTAAGTTTTGCTGCTGTGTTTAATTGAAGCTTCTTTGCTTCTTTTTATTGCTTTGCTACTGTTCTCACTTCATCGAAGAGTATTCAATGTGAATCAAGTAACAAACAACACAAAGGCATCTTCTTTCAATTAGCGAGAAAGCATCGCGTAATTAATAATATTAAACATTTCTTCCATTCTTGTTAGTTGTTTCCACGATATTTTGCATTCAGCATCTTTGCACATGAGAGAAGAAAAAAAAGTTTCAAACCCGCAGCACTCACGATAAAGGAAACTTGTGTGAAACATCGATCGATGCTTCGCTTAAAAGGCGCCAAACGTTTGACATGGTCGTTGAAACGGTGAAATGAATAACGAGAGACAGCTTGAAGACCTGATAAAGAAGTAAATAAATGGCACTCAATGAAAATTGATTATCTTTGCATTTGCTTTTTCTTCCATGCTTGTTCTTTTTATTATTTATTCATCGTTGCATTACATCAGCATTTGATGCTGCACTTCATAAGACTGCTTCAAAAAAAGATGAAGAAAATATGAATCAACACCTTAACGTTGTGAAAGATTTCATGATTACATTTTTGCTCAACATCTTTGCATTACGACTTGCAAACGATAATCATAGGCGAATGTGAGCTCGCAGCGAAAGAAGGTGTGATGTCAATAATTTATTAATGTTAACAAGATAAACAAAGTCTTCTTTGTCATTTGACTATTTTTTTCTTTCCTTTTTTTATCTGACGATTTTGCTTGCTTCGTTTCTTCTATTAAGTCATGGAGCGGAGGAGCGAAACAAAAACGAGGATGAAGAAATGAAATAAACTTCACGATAATCACTTTCAGCTACCTGAATATTTTTTAATCTCGCTACGGTTCATTCCTACTTGCGCTTTTGTGTGTGTCGCTTTTTTTTCCTTCATTTCTTGTCTTACGATTTTTTAATTCATTCAATCATTTAATCCTTCACTTTATGTGATATTAACGCGATTCATTTGTTTTCTTATTTCAGCGAATTTGTGAGAAAAGCAATTAAAAGTTATGTTTTCTCTTCGTTAAGTCTTTCGAAGATTTTGTTGTCATAGTTTTAACAAGATTGTGGTAATTCTTTACAATACAGTTGATTATCTTAACATTGACTTATGGCTTGATGAATTGAAACTGGTTTCTTATGAACGTTCATCGTTAAAAATGACTTCACAGCTCATAAAGCGTTACGCAAGGAAATTTACTTTTAACAACCAATCATTCTACCTTTACACACTTCTACTGTACATGAATTGCACAAGCAGAAGAAGTCAAATAAACATGATTTTATGTTGAAGTAAATCTCAGAATAAACTGACTTAAACGGAGAATTTTTATTGTTTTCACATGGTCCATTCGTTGTTATGTTTTGTTTGTTCAGCATCTGGCAAGTCAGTCAGTCGAGGGAACTCTAAGAAACGAAAGCAATAAAAAAGAAGTCAGTGATTTATAGGTATTGTAGTAAAGAAATGAAACTTCTCTTTTGAAAAAAATGAGAAATCAACTAGAGGGCATAAAAATGTTAATTTTCGTTTATTCATCCAAAGCATTCGTAAAATTATGTGAAAACTGAAAACAAAAATCAGTGAAGTGACCATTCATACTTATTTAGTTTGTCATTTTATTTGCTTACCTACATTAACAATGTCATAATGAAACAAATAAACAAACATTGATGATTTTTGTTAATGCCAAACATATTCAAATGAACATTAGTTTTCTTCCATTTCACAGCAGATAAATTCAGTGAAGCAATAAAATTCACATTAGGAAACTAGCTCGACGGGAGGATGAAATATTTATGATTTCCATTAAATAACATGTTCAGAAACTCATGCATATTTCACACGCCGACAATGATTGTTTCAAATTCGTTATGTTGCATTTAATGGTCGTTCGATGACTTTAGTTTTAATCATCCATAAGTTTATGCTTTTCATTTAATATTTCACGATCCAATTTTCCACTCCGTAATGACTTAAAAACAAAACTTCATCGGAATTTTTCTCACAACATTTTCAGTCGGTTCAAATCACTGACACCAAACCGATTATAGATCTATTAAAATGTCTCTCAAGTAGAGCCATAAAAATTCTCAATCTTTAAGACTTGCTTGGAAGAAAGAAAGCAAACTGAGAATTGTTCGTTCTCAAGAGGGGTAAAAATTGAAATGAAACGACGGATAATTGAAAAAGACATCATCTTTCGTTCCACATAATTTCAAGCATCAACAAAAACAGTTTCTTTCTCCGCTCCACTTCTATTCTCCTGCCTTTTTATTTCCAGAACAGTTTTCTTATTTCATTCATGTTCGGAAAGTGGCGTTAAGACCTAATACGAATCTTCAACATCTTTAAGAAATGAAGTAAATCGAAAGTGAACAGTGAAGATTTTCTTTTTCATTCTCCGACAGAAATTGATATTTATCGTCCACCAGGGGGATATCAACATCACTTACATTTTCATCAAGAAGCATCTTAAAGCCGATTTGATTGTTTACATTAAGAATTCATTATGGGAAGGTCTGCCAAGTGTGAGAGAATGCGTTTCCATAAATATTTTATTCCCCAAGAATCTGAACATGTAACTCGCAATGAAGCGGAAACAATTCATTCAATTCCTTAGCCAATATCTGTCCATTTTCACTTTAATTAATAAATTATGTATTTTCCGTTTACCTTCAATTTCCTTTCACTCCATAACTCCGGTGAAATTGCCTAAGCACACGCAATTCAAGTGTCTGTTGAATGAATTGATTCGCTCATTCTACCCCAACTTCATTCATTACCAATTTCATTGTCTGAAAGATTTTCATTTTATTTTATTCTACAAGTCATGGCAAAACTCGGATGGAATAAGAATTCCTCGTTTTGACTTTTGTTGGCATTTTGTTAGGTTTATTTTTCTTTAAATTTGGGCTCGCTTCTTACTTATCCCAATCTGTCACACACAAGTCTCAGGTAAAGTTCGAAAAACATTTAATGACATTGATTTATGAGCGTCTCGAACATTGCCAAGAAATTCTTTTTATTTTATTTCTTTTTTGTGTGTATAAGGGAAAAGAGAATTATTTGAAACGAATAGTTAAATATTTGGCCTTAAACTTCGTTCGTTTCCTTGTTGTTGTTTGTTTTTCAATTCTTCGGTTTAGCTCATAAAGCGATTTACTTACGAAAGGATGCTTCTAAGAAGATAACGATGAGTTTATTAAACTAAAATTGCTTATTTAAAACCTATTGAAAGAAGTCAAAACAATATTTCCTTCCATTACCAGTCAAGGCAAACACTTTTATTGCAAAAAATTGAGTGATGAACACCCTGAAGGTTGTGGAAAGTTCAGAAAAGGATCAACCCTCGAATAAACTTTCCATGTAAATCGCTGTTTGAAAAGTTTTCAAATCTGCGGCAACATTACTTTTTATTTCCCATGCACCACTTTTCAAAAACCGCCAGCAGACAGAAGCTTTCATGGCTTGATGTTTGTGTCGTTTTTTTAACATTAACAAGACAGCGAAAGATAACACAAACGTGTGTGATAGCAACACAATATTTCATGAATATTTAATTAACTTGGAAAACGTTGTACTGTTGAAAAATGAACATGTTAAAGTTTATGTGATGGCAACAAAAATCGCTTGATTATATTTATATACGATCTTCAGGTTTCATACCTCTATTGCTTTTATTTTCATCATGCCTAAAATCTAATTAATTTTTAACTCACTTAGTCATTTCATGGTTTCATATTCTCTTTAGGTGTGTAAATAAACATAAAAGTAAAATAATGAATAGGGGAAATGTGAAGTTAAAAAAAGATTCAAAATTTTAGTGGTTTCCTTTCATTTCTTGACGTTATCAATAACTTCTCTTATCGATAAATCATTTGATTGATTTCTATTAACGAAAATTTCCTCTGATAAGCATTTTGATTGATCTTAATTTATGATAGATAATTTGTAATTTAGTTGCAAGGCTTAGAAATTATTGTTTGATGTTTTTTGATGAGTTTGTCTCTTAATTGATTTTAAAAGATGTCTGCAAGAAATTTTTCTTTTTATTCTTCGGTGATTTGTGAGTGTTCATGCAAGCATGGATGGATAACGACTGAGAATACATGCTGAGTGAAGTTGGTAATGGCGCTCATGTTTCTCTCTCAGAGAATCTCAGTTGAAAGTCCCAGAAAAATGAGAATTTCTCTCTCTTGCATGATTGTAAGGTTTTCAACATTTCTTCCCACACAAATCATAAAAATTTATGTTAAAATATTTGAAGAGATGAAGATGAGTGAATGAGAAAATCAAATAAAACGATTATGATGCTCAATGCTCCCTTTTAACAAGAAAATGTATTTAATTATTCAATCCTCACCTTCTTCAATTTTAATGCGATAAATTTATTTTTAGTCACACAATTCATGTCGCCACGATTTCAATCTGTCTCTGGTAAAAGCTCAAAACGTTTTTCTGTTATGCAAATGAAGCGGGTGATAATTGAGTCTTAAAAATCCATTATCGCATGAATATTTTCTGTGAAAAATATCATATGAAACTTAGGCGTTTGTTACAAGCCATAAGTGGATCATCATACAATTCAATTATGCAATCTCCGATACCCTTCAAGTGACAAGACTGAAACATGAATGGAAACAACATTTGAGAGAATTCAAAACTTTAAAATCCTTGTCATTCGTTAATCCTTTCCAGATGATGAGTTTTCATTTGAAAAATCCTCGAAATAGACATTTAATCGACGTCACGTTCCATAAATTTCGTTATTCTTATGTGAAGTGCAACGACACAAGGGATGAAAAAAGAGAGAAATCCTCACTGACGATGGTGATTTATATCATGAATGATGCTTTGGATTTTCTTGCATTAAAATTTATTTGAAAAGCGAAAGAGAAATTTTCAATTCTAAGGATCATTTGGGTAAGAAAAAGATCCCAGAAAATATTTTCTGTTTATTTTAAGAAACAAATTTTTATATTTTTGTTTATTTCTTTATATTTTTTCTGCTTCGTTTGAATATCTAAGTATAAAAAAGAATTTTTTTTCAACACAGTGTTTGCAAAGGAGTGTTTGCTTCCCTTTATCGTTTTTTCTTCCTTTTCAGTGCCTTCCAATGATGTTTATTTTCAGATAATATTTCCTCAATTCGTTGTCGTAATCTCTGCATACACACATTAAAAGACGTTCGTTTGGTTTTGGAGACGTAGGGCTATAGAGGCCACTCGACATATGGTTTTTATCACACTCGAAGACGAAAAACTGTCCAGAAAAAATGTTTCCATCGTGTAAAAACTTTTCCTATGTTTGCATAAGGATAACAAATTTTTTTTTACAGGAAAGACAAGCGAGCGGTTCGCCTTTGTCGTGTCAAACATGCAATGTTGATATTTAGCTTTGTGTGTGAAATGTGTGTGCATGATAACATGACATAAAGATTCAGGATTAAATATAGGACGTTTAACGTTTATTTTCCTTTTTTTTGTGATCGAGGAATTTTTCACGTTGAGTTAAGCTTTCTTCACTCTTAAACCTTTTCCCATTGTGCTTTTTATTCTCAATGCCATTAAACGCCAAATGAAATGGAAGAATATTGCTGTTTCGTGCAAATCTTCATTCTTTCCTTTTATCATTATTCCAAAGAATTTCTTTTGTGTTGATATTTGATGGGAAAAAATTTAATCGAATCAGTGATTCGTGATAATGATTTTTCTTTTTCTTTAATTTTTCCTTCTTCAATTATCTTGCTTCATCTTTTTCTGAAGAGTTTCATCCCAATTTGTGATTGTTCGCACTATCAATAGTGAGATGGAATGTTAGCATATTAATGTTCAATTTAATAAAAAAAAAGAAATATCACTTCTGGATGTACAGTCGATGTTCTTTTGGTCAAATAAAGAAATTATCGAATTTTCTTAATAATTTAGGCTTCCAACTGTACACAGCTACGCATTACCCGAATGAATGCTTTTAAGGAGTTTGTACTCATTATTGTAGGAGTTTCCTCGTGATATCTTATGACAGTCTTTTCTTAACGTTGTCATCCTAATGATGATAATGAAGAAAACACCAAAGGAAAAAAGAGAAAAAAATTTGAACATATTTTTATGTTGATTTTTCATTTTCATCGAATTACGTTCCCTCAAAAATTGATGACACCGAAGCCATCGACTTTGATAACATTTTCATGCACTTTTGAAGATATGGTTAAATAAATTGCTTCGTTAGGGAATTGAGAAGTGAATTGGGCAAGTTGATGAGGGAGGAATACACCATCAACGATGACATAATTAAGATACAATCGAAGGCAAAGAGAATATTTATGTGCACTCATGTTTAATAGAAACTAAATTCCAATTTGAATCAAACATGAAATAAGGGGACAGACAAAACGGCGAACACATTTTATGACTTTATCATATTGCACGTTAAATCCTTGACAATTACAATTCTGTGTGTGAACAACTGCAGTTTATAAATCGAATTTTACACGCATAATTTGATGAACAATTGGGTTTCCTTTTGTGGAAATGTTTCGTTCTTCGAGTGGTTCTTACATTTATGAAATTCGAATCAAAAACTTTTTTTTTGCTTTGACACGAACACTTAAAATTAATAATGAAGGAAGTTCGAAATGATTCTTCATAAAATCTCTGAAGAACATTTACGAAACACTTATGAAATATTAAAACAAAATTGTAACGAACAGTCAATCAATTTCAGAAATTGCAATTCAAATTAACACAATAACAACAAAATGAAACATTGTAAGCTAAATAATTCGTGTGAATTGTGAAAGAAAAGAAATCTCTGACCCTCGACAATGATTGTTACTAACAAGGCATTGTTAGATGATGTCAACGAACATGGAAAAGCAGATGTCGCATGCACAACATGAAAACTATTTTGTCATAGGAAAAATTAGTTGTGGCGACTTGATATAAATTTCTCATTTTAGATTCTTATCAAAAACATTTCTTAGAAGAGGAAAATGATTTTCTTCAGTATTTTCTTCATCACACATTGTATGATTCATAAGAATGTCGTCAGAATATTTGTTCAATGTTCATGAAACGTAATTTCCGTGCAATTTACAACCCTCAAAGCTTGTCGTAAGTTTTTCTTGTTAGACAAATCTTCACTTTTTCTTTGATGCTTCAATTTTTCGGTTTGCATACTCTCAAATTTCAAATATATTTCTGTGTTCTCTTAGAAAGATGATGCCTGAAAATTTCCCGCTCGTTTCACGGTTAAACTGGCAATTGTCTAATGATCTTGACGGAAAGCAGCATTTCGAGATGACAAAAATTTTCTTATGACTTTATTGAGATGAATTTTTGCACCCTTATAAAACATTTCGCAAGGAAATTGCCAAATGAGGCGCTAATTCCGTTCAGTCTTCCGGGTTCTTTCCTTAACCCAATTTTCCTAGAAACATTCGCAAGAAAATTAGCAAAAATTCTTAAAAAAAATTTTTTCAGCGTCATCTCAATTTATTGTCGACAATGTTCCTCAACATCTTTTTTTTCTTTCTTCTAACACAACATAAAGATGGAGAAAAGTCTACTAAAACATAAATGACAATCATCAAGAAAAAGAAGCAAAAAAAAATTGATTTAAAATTTTCCCTCCATGAACAACGCAATATCGTCATGTATTTTCCTTCCAATCTACGTTTCCTCGAGCGATGATGGAAAAATTGAGCAAATAAAAAATGATTTGAACAGAACATTGCGCTTCCTTTCGAATCTTTCTTGCTTAACATCTTTTACGACAATTTTCTTTTGCCGCTAACAAATCTCCTGCTTAACAGAATTTTTATTTCTTTCGTCAATTGTTTCATGACGGAAGGAAAAAAAACAATTGTCGAGTTTTCTATCGTTAAGAGAAGAGGGAAAAAATTAATTACTTTTCGCACTGCAGGTTATTTCATTCTCTTCACTGAAAATGAATTCAATTAGTGACAAATGATTTCAAGAGATTTTTTTTCTTTCTTAGATGCTTCTATTTTGGTGAATAATTTTTTAAAAATAAAACTCGCATCATCATCTTACTGTCACCCTAAAGGAAGAGCTCATTGTCACATTGACAAACATGAGAAGATTGGCGAGTGTCATGGTGAAAATGAAGAAGAAAAAAAATCGATTAATGAAAGTAAACAAATTGTAAAGTGGAATGCTGCTTGCGCAAAAAGGGATCTTTTCTGTAGTTGACTCTCAAGAGATCCATTAAACTTTCATTGTTACCATTGCGTCATTTCTTTGAGTGAAATGCTAGCAGCACCCCCGATGTAATTTGCAAAATAATTCAACAATCAGCAATCACCCTCTTTACCTACTTCACTCTTCAAACACCCTGGAAAGAAATTAAATTTTCAGAAATTTTTAGGTGGCTGCCTGCTTCCTGTTACTATAACCACCTACCAAGTGAGATATAGTTTCAAGGGTTTCATCATTTGTTCGCTTCAATAATGACTCCCTCCTCAATGTATTTACAAACATTTGAAAATTTGAACACATTTTTAATGTTTCTTTTTCATTATCGTCAAATAATTTCCAATTCGTATTTGATTTTTTGATGACACCGAACCATCATTTTGATAACATTTTTGTAACTTGCAAGCGAGAGAGGGGATCAAAGAATAAATAAGTAGTGAAGGGATGCACCGGCATTAAAACACAAAAAAAGAACGATGACATAATTAAGATATCTTACCATTCCGAAAGATAAATTTTCAACCTCGTGTAGATAATAAAAACTTAAATCCAATTGGAATCAGTAATGAAGTGAAGGGGAATAATGAAAAGAAAATTTATGTCTTCATTACAATGCAAATTCGTTATCCTTCTTTTGAGATTTAAACGTAAGATATGTGTTGTGAATCATTTCGCTTGTGTGATGATAACTTCATCAAGTATATTGATCGGATTATAAATTTATGTTTGATTGAATGATATCCGCTCAAATATTTTCCACAAGAAGTTTGAGATTCTCAATCATCTGGAAAGTAAACAATAATAATAATCAATGTTACTCACTCTAGATTGAACATTGTAATTTTCACGCAATTTATTTCAAATCTTCTTCCGGTTATAAGATCATGAGAGAATATAGAAAAGTTTCCTAAATTTTATTGAGTGCTATATTAAGCGGGATTTCCGATGTTCTCATGCTATTGATGACTGAAGGGTATCCGGTTAGCTTACCTCATGGCTGAGTTGGCGATAACTTTATGGTTTATTTCATAATATTGATAGAAAAAGTTGCCATCTTCAAATTTTGACTGTGAACTTTGCTTATTTATTTTTTCTCCCATAAAATTCTGTACATCAAATGTTTTTGATTAATAATTTATCACATTTTTTCCTTAATGAAAATTGAGATTTCTACGGTTTTCCATTTTAACGAGTGGAGCAGAAGAGAAATTGATTTATGATGGTTGCTGCTCTCGGGTTTTCCTGTCCCTAAGCGATCTTGCATTGAATAAACATTCTCTCATCTACTTTTTTAACTCAAAAAAAGATCCATTAGATTTTCATTATTTGGCAAGTGTAGTGCGCCAACTCATCAAGTGAAATATTGGCTCCCCCAAATGATTTCAACATTCAATAAATACTCACAAGAACATTTTATTCACCCTCTCTTGTCGGATTTTCTGTTTAAATACCCTGAAAAAATATGATTTCTAGAAAATATTTCTCCTACTTGTATCCTGTTATGCTATGCTGCTGTGCTCATGTTTATCAAACATGAAACTGACGAGATAGAAAGCAGAGAAATTCAAACATCAAGCATAATGGGCTTCAATTATCATTCCTTTTGTTCATTGAGTCCCCCCGAAAACAATAAATTATCTATGCGTTCACAGAATTTAATTTAATTCTAATTTAAAAGTGTTTTATGAATCCCTAGAAAGTTTTGAATAACAGAAATGAATTTTTTTTTACATTAAATGAGATCATCCTTTCAAAGTTTTATTGCGGTGCAAACTAGCATTTCAACTCTCGATTTTGATTTCCACCCCTTCGAGAGAATTCCTTTTGAATTTAATTTGAAGTCACCGTATGAAAAATTAGAATTCTCCTATAAATTCCACAGAGGATTTGTTTCCATGGTTTTGTGATATGATCAGGAAAGCATTTTACATTGAATAAGAGAAACTCGATTTGTTACGTAAGATGAGTAAGCTTCTAGAGTATACATAACAAGCTCACCATTAGCACATAAAACATGAAAGCTTTGATGTCATCCAGCACATGTCAAAACGCTCCATAAAAATGTGCTTACATTTAACGATTCAATATGCAATGTAATCTTGAAATTGAAGCATAAATCATAAGCTAATTCACGATGGGAATTCTTCAATGAAAAATATTCTTTAATTCACAAGTACACAATTAGTTCTCAACTCTTCATTCATAAATTTAAATACATTGTGGAAGCATGAAGCGATGACTTTGATGACATGAGAATAAAGTTTAAAACACTTTATAAATGCTTCGGAAACATGCATCAACATCTCTTATAAAGGAATTTCTATTCTATAGAAAAAATTTCCTTTAATCTTTGACTCGTAACAGCAAACTTCAATTAACTTTTACATTTCAATCTGCTTTGTCTTCTTACTTTCCGTTTTGCAATTAAAATCATTGAGGGCAAAATTGTTTTCTTCATGTTAGAGATCGCGTTTAGTTTGAAGACTGAATATTTGCTGCGCCCTTGTTTGTTTGACAGGATATGCTTCAAGGAGTCTTTCATCCTTTTTTTCAATTGCAATCTCAAACAGTTTCCTTGTTTCATTTCTCGAGGCTTATTTTTCATTTGTCGATGTTTGCAATGTTAAAACGACCTCATGAAACCCCATCAAATAATCGTGCGATTCCTTTCATGCTTTGACGGCTTTTTGATTCTCGATTTTCCAATTTTAAACAGAAATGAATGATTTTCCACTTGAAGAAAGCGCAATTTTGTTTCTTATCGTCAAATGAAGAAAAAGAGAGAGAAAAAAGTAGAAGTAAAAGTAAAAATAAAAGAAGAAAGTGGAAGTACTTGGGGTTGATGTTCTAACAAGTTGACGAACAAGCTTTATGAAGGGGTGAATTTTTTAATGTCTTTTAGGTCTCCCACCACGTTCAGAACATTCAAGACAAATTCGCACCCTCAGGCAAAAATCGATTGTTGAAATGAAATGGAAGCAATTTTCTTGAGACAAAAACTAAGGTTTACTATCAGGATACAACTGATATTACTTAGTCGTTTGAAAAGAAAGAAGGAAAGAGAAAAAACGGCTTTTTGTAACGCAATCCTCGTATTTTGTATTGTGATACAAGCTGAAATTTCTCTACCTCAACTTCAATCCCCTTACACGTTACACGTTGCTTTGTGTTGAGGGTGTCGTATGACTAATATTATGTGTGCTCTGAATTTCCATTTCAATGAGATTTGATATGTGATGTCGATGATTCTTCAGCGGTGTAAACAATTTCAAGAACTTTTCATCGTCATGTTGTCAGAATAGAAATGCCAACAGAGTGAATTTTAAACGCGACACAGAAAACGAAATTTAAAATAAAGCAGAATGAACGCAGAATACCCAAATGCGATGCCTGCAAGTGAAAAGCGATTTTTCTAAGTGTGAAGGGTTGTCAGTGAATGAAAATCTCATCTGAGTCTTAAATAGGATGAAAATCATGAATGGAGAGAAAATTCCGAATTGTTTATGGTTTAACACCCACCGATGTGGTAAAAATGTCTGCATGTGATTAAGCTGAGATTATCAGATAATGAATAATGGGAAAATATTAAAAGAATCATTTCGACATTACCACAAGAAAATTCTAATTTATTAAATTAAAATCGGATTCTGATGATGTTGAATGTTAGATAATAATCATTATTCTTTAGTCCTGCTGGCTATTTAATTTCCTTGTTCATATCTCCGCACCATTATGAAAAGCGATATAATCCAGGAGTAAACAAAGCAAGGATTTATTTTCCGATCATACATGCTGCTGCTGTTGCTACTGCTGTGTTTGTGCACTTATCTTTCGCAAATATATGAAAAATGAGTCATCACATTTTAAGTGAGTTTCCAATCCGATTCTATGAAGTGAGTGGGAGATTCGTAAGGATATCAAAATTATTTCCGTTACAGAGAAAGTTTTCTCATAAAAATTTTCTTTTAAGAACAATTTTCTTATTGATGCTGGTTGCATATTACAAACCGGGTGGGAATGGAAAAAAGTAATCCAAGAAGGAAAGAAAAAAAAATTATCATCTTTTTATGAAAAGCATGATTCTAATCAAACAGAATAAAATTGTGATAAATGACGACTGGAAAATGTTAAACAATAACGAATAAAAGTTCCCCTACATAAATATCCAGAATGGAGGCGAGATATTTTTTTATCGACTTGCTTCTGATTAAGAAAATGATATTTTTTCTTTTTTTCATTTATCCCTTACTAACAATACTCAAGCTGTCATAAAAATGCTGAAAAGTAATATTTTTTTCCATTGCAAGACAATGAAAAGCTTTATCGAAGAAAAATTATTATGAACTGTTTGCTCTCGGACCCTTCTCAAGATTTGTTAATATTTTTCAAGTTTATCATAAAACACTTTTCAGATAGAAATGGAAGAAAACTATTCTATGAAATAAGAAAAATAACAAAGAGTAGTAAGGTTATGGAAGGGAATTATGACACCCTCAATAAGCGAATAAAATAAATTGTTTGGAAAATAATTTTCTGCTATTATCGTGCTTATTATCTTGTTTGTTTGCTTGCTGCTTATCTACTTAAAAGGAATTTTTCAATTTAATTGAAGAGATTTTAAACTGCAGAACACTCATTGCAACTTATCTTTTAAGGATGAGTTTCGTGTTTTAAGACATGGAGGAAAAATCGTGCGCAAATAAATTTAACTCATTTAATGTTGGAAGCAACTTATTCATGTCTGTTGATCGAACGAAATAAGAATAAATAGATTTCAAAAGCTATGCAACTGAAAAGGATTTTTCAATTTTAAACCCGATCAATGTTTTCTCAATGTTTTCTAATGCACCATAATGCACAAACATGCTGGCATGATCCAAAACTTGACTTTTCCCGGCTTTTAATCGAAATTTTCTTGTAGAAATCAAATTGCGTTAAAATGATGACTTTGTTCGACACACTCAAGGGGTTATTCAATTTTATTAAATTTAATAAACTCAATTCACACGTGTGGTAAACAATTTTAATTTTTCTAATGCAGAGTACATAACTTTTTTGCTATCTATTTATGTTTTCGAACAAAATGCTTGCTAAAAATTTGGGAAATTTCAATGATTGAATTTAATAAGGGATAACGAATAAATAGGTTGAAGCTTCAAGATATCAAACGCAAATGCTTCAATTATTTTTTTTATTAAAAACAAACTCCATAAAAAAGCACCCGGAATGAATTTGAATTTATTAAAATAATATTTCGTAGTTTAATAAATGAATTTTAATATAAATGAATGTCGATTAGATTATTGACTTCTTATTTATTCGAAAATCGTTGCGATAACAAGTGCATAAAGCAATGGCTTTACTTCTTAAAAGTTTTTATAATTTTTACAACTATTATTTCAATGAATACGAAGGTGAATTTGATTAGTCATTCCTTCTAAATTTTGAAGACTAATAGAAGTATTTTCAGATAATCGCGTAAAAGATCTTTTCTTAGTGCAATCCCCGTTTCCAGTAATCGGAATTTTGGCAACATACCTTTACTTTGTAAACGGAAGAGGACAGAAATGGATGAAGAATCGAAAAGCTTTCGAATTAAATTCTATAATCAATTTGTATAACGCTTCACAAGTAGTAATTAATCTCTACATTGGATTACGGGTTAGAAGATGAAACTTTCGAAATTCCTTCGTATACTTTCTTATTGAGTGACGTTTTTTTAAGGCTCTCTACACAATCACTCAAATTGAAGGTTTCAATGTTCTTTGTATACCGCCACCATTTAATGATTACACAGAACATCAGTTGATACTTTTGAAGTTATCACATCTTTATTATTTGCTTAAAGTTCTCGATCTTCTAGATACGGTGAAATGATATTAATTACTTTCTGCTCTCAATTGAAACAATCTGAAATCATTTTCTTTTGTTCATAGTTTTTCTTCATTTTACGTAAGAAGAACAATCAAGTGACTTTCCTTCACATTTATCACCATACTATAATGGCCTTAAGCGGATATTTATACATGAAATTTCTATCCGGCGCAGGTCACGCGTTGGGTTTAGGCAAGTAGAATTAATAAAACTTTATGATGACGATTTTAAATCTTTTTCTTTTAGGTGTCGTTAACTCCTTCGTGCACGTTATAATGTATGGTTACTACTTTCTTACGTCATTCAAACCAGAAATAAAGCAGTCGATTTGGTGGAAGAAGTATATTACTCTGGTTCAAATGGCACAATTTACAATTCTGATATTCTTTTTTGGCTTTCCTATCTTTACCGATTGTCCTTTTCCTAAAGTTATATTGATTGTTGCTGCGATACAAAATTTCTTCATGTTAATGCTATTCGGTGATTTCTATTTGAAAGCATATGTTTTGAAAAAGAAATGAGTTTTTTTCTCATTTTATTTAATTTAGCAAATATATTCACGCTATTCAAACTGTAATATACCTAATAAACATTTTTCTTTCTTTAGCACAAACTGAATAAAAAAATTGAATTGAGTTGAGCCCCGCTCAAAAATTCAAATGTAGGTGTCGCTAAAGTCATAAAAACAAAACAAAATTTGCCAAATCTTATCATAAGCTATTTAAACATATTAATTAAGAAAATATGCATTAAATCATCTTAATTTAGTGTAAAAATAATATTTGGCTCAATGTTTTCAAAATTGTGTAATTTTAAACGTAAGTTATGCAACAATTTAGTGATAAAAGTTGCAAAATTTGGAAAATGTTCATTTCCTGATTAGAGTCAAGGAAGTTTGATTGATAACAGCTGATAATATTTTAAATAATGTTTACTAATGCGTGGGAAAGCGATTTGCTGTCAAACGATGTGAAATAATATAATATAAAATGAATTTTTCACATACTCGAAATTTTTGTTATAAAATATTTTTGATTTCACTTAATTTTTTTCACAAATATCAATGAAAAAGAAAAAATGAAGAAAGAATTTTTAAAACATCTGTGAGGCATAAAAATAAATATTTTTGCCTATCACACTTCGTTAAGATAGAAATTCTTTCGTCACACTAAACTAATAAAATAGAATTCATTCAACTTATGTTCTTCGCGTTTCATAACTTCTCAAGGAAGAGAGAGAAAATCAAAATACCTATCAAGGGGTAATTCATAATTAATACTGACTTAAGAAAAGCATGAAGATTTTCATTAATGTGCATGATAATGCATTGCTTTAACAATTATCATAGAAAATTTAAAACCTTTAAAAATGTTTAAAGATGTTTTACAATTATTTACCCCTTCAACCATGCTTCAAGTCAAGAAAAAGAGAATCATATGATTTTTGCTTTGAGTTCAAGGTCATGTAAATAAGAGCGACACTCAATTTAGAAGAAAATAAAAATATATAGCAAAAATGTTTGAGACTTAAAGGCCAAACTTAACGTGCGAGAGAAAAACATTAAAATGAAATCGCGTATTGTGCTGCAAGCCATTGAAAAGATTGGTTCTGAATATTAGTGCTCGTTGATGTAGACGTTCATTTAGCGCAATAGAGTTAAGTTTCAGGTGTGAATTGTTCAATTTTGAATTCGGGAATTATTTTTTTCTTTGTGCATTTGAAAGTCAAAAACATAAAATATATCAGACATAAAACTCTTGGAAATTGCAAAGTTTATCATAAAAAAGCTACTGAAAACATAATTTCAATTTTCGTGATTGATTATTTAATTCAAATAACCTTCAGAAAATCCTCAAGAACTTGAATTTTTGCATATTTTTGTTGTCCTTCAGTGCGCAAGTTTCAAAATTTTTTTTTTCCTTTGTGAATGAAGACGAACGAAAGTGTGGAGAAAGTAATTGCAATACCATCTCGACACGTGCTTGTACTGTTGTGTCATGAACATTTTTTATAAATAACAAATAACGGCGTTTGCTTTCTTGTAAACAGCTGACTGTGTTTTGACGAAATGATTTTTGATTTTGCATAAGCAAACCGGATATAAGTTAAAAATCTACGAGTGACTTTGTTTCATTTATCCATAAATTAAGTAAAAACTAACAAAATTTATTGTTTGTTTGAATGATATTTTGTTCTGGTTTTCGCTTTTCAATACTTAATTTATAATATCGATCGATGGTGTGGGTGGCGCATTTCTCTTTTAATCAAGAAACTAAAAATAAACCGCACTGAATGAAAACGTATTTGTGTGAATCGTTTTAAATTGAATCACTGACCTAAAATTGTCGAACGTTGATATATTTTAGTTGCTTTTGATTCGTAAGTCTTGACGCAACGTTACTAACGCATAAATCTTATCAGAATATAATCCCACTTGAATTTTAAAGATTATTTTTAAATGTCTTTTACTTGCTTCTGAACAAACGTACGTTGTTTTATCAATCCTCTATATTCTTATCAGATAAGCGTTCTTATCATTTTAATTTTTCTCTTTTTTTCATATAACGCAGTTCATGATTGTGAGCGTTATAAAAATTTTGTCGACAAATTCGTTATGCGATTGGATGACATAGTTCTAAGGTGAGTTTTAACTGACGATGTCGCACTTCTAAACAAGAGCGTCTTTGTATAAATTTTTAATGGAAAAGTACTGAACAGCTATTAAGTTTGAGTTGATTATTCATTTTTTTCTTCTTTCTATGACATGTTTCAACAGATATCAGAAGAAAATCGGATCTTATGACAAACAACAATGGGAGAAAACATTAGAAGAGCAGAAGATCATTGAAAACGCAATAAACTTCTCGCTACGAAGCACAAAATTGAAAACAGATTTGATTGATGTTGATTTGGTTCGTGGATCGACATTTCCAAAAGCAAAGCCGAAACAGTCACTTCTGACTGTGCTTTATCTTTCCATTCTTCGATTTTTCTTCTTACCACTTTTTGCACGATGGTGGGTTCGAGAAACATCTCCAAAAGTCTTTGTTCTTCTACTCTCACTTTACTTACTTCAAATGCTCAATTGGGCGATTTATTCGCTTCACATTCGGGACATAAATGATGAGCTGAAAGACGATGGAAGTTCTGTAGTGCCATTATGTGAGCTTCTCATTCCCATGGGTCTGTCACTTCTCCTATGCTTTGTTCATTCACAAATTGTCGCTACATCTGCAACATCATCACGGACAAGCAATAAACGTAGACAAAAATTAAACATAAATCGAATAAGTAACGACAAAATTAGGAGAAAGAAAAAAGCTTTGAGGTGAGAAGATAAAACATAAAGGTGAACATTTATTGTAATGTTTATGATTTTAGAGTACGTCCCTCGAATAATTCAATGGATCTGAAAGGATACGACACTGATGATGAGCAGACGACGATTCAGAATCCTCGAATTAAAGTTAAACCCAACTTGAAAGTCAAAATAGATCATGAAAGTCATCGAATTAGTTGTATTAAGTTAGATTTAAATGAAACTGTTGGCTGTTCATCAAATGTTCCAGTAATTCCTGACTCATCATCAACTGTAAGGAGACGAAACGTCAATTGGGGTGATTCACCGATAAAAAGTTCTGTTAATGCTCCATCACGTCATGGCGATGGAAAACCACGAAAGCAGTTGACAAATGAAATTAACTCTGCTGGGGATGATGGGTTTGAGAGTTTAACTGGAAAGAGTTCAAGTGGTGAAGATCGAATGCTTCCATTGTTGCAAACTGATAGTGACACTGACACTTTACGGAACAGTGAACGATCAACACCAGTGAAGACTGGAAAAAAGACTTTAAAGGAATCTTCAGACACAGATGAAGAGAATGACGATATTGAATCGTTAGCACCAGCATCGCCGAGTCATTTTGAGACGACAGACGGTGAATATATTGGAGTGACATCAAACAGTGAATCGGAGTGTTCAGTTGATCATTCTGGTGATGATGATATGGATGCTGTGTCACCAACGACAATTTTGAATCCAAACGACTCCAGTGAGAAAGTTTCCTGCACTTTATGGACGAAACATGAAGCGAAGAAAGCTGAAATGAGCGTTCTTGATATTGCCATGGCAATCATTCAACGTGTTGATGTGATTCCCGAAACTTGTGACTATGTTTACATTGGATTTGCTTTGAGTTTGATTTTGTCATTGACACCAACATATTGTCGACTTTGTGACATTGCACTTGAGTCAAACTCAACTGGCATTCCGAATATCATTTTTGAACTTCCACGAGTTATGATGGAAGATTCGTCTTCCATTTCTTTCACGACTTTTATGCATTTGGCTTTCGGGAAGAGCAGCTGGCAGAAGACTTTGTTAATTATCTCAACATTACAACGTTTGATTTTAGCGTGTTTGTTTTTCTTTCTTTTGGCTGTGGCTGAAAGAACTTTTAAGCAACGGTGAGTTGGAATCAAATCATTGAGTGAATTAATTTTCTTAAAATTTTCATTAATTTTTCAGCTTTCTCTACGCTAAACTCTTCTCACATTTGACATCAACTCGAAGAGCACGGAAATCGCTGATTCCACATTTTCGGCTGAACAAAGTTCGGAACATTAAAGCTTGGTTGAGTGTTCGGTCATATTTGAAGCGTCTGGGACCGCAACGATCAGTTGACGTTATTGTTTCAGCTGCTTTCATCACAACTCTTCTGCTCTTAGCGTTTCTCAGCTTGGAATTCTTGAAAGATTCCGAACACATTCACAGTCAAATTAATCTTGAAGCTCTGATGTGGTCGTGCGCACTTGGTGCTTTCCTTTTACGCTTCATGACTCTTGGAACGAAGATTAATAAGAAATACCGATCAATATCTGTCTTAATTACTGAACAAATTAATCTCTACGTTCAAATAGAACAAAAACCACAGAAGAAAGAAGAGTTGAGTGTTTCGAACAGCGTGTTAAAACTTGCCAGTGATCTTCTTAAAGAACTCGATTCACCTTTTAAAATTTCAGGGCTAAGTGCCAACTCATATCTTTACAACACTGTCAAAGTTGTTGTGCTTTCTGCACTTTCCGGTGTTCTCTCCGAAATGCTTGGCTTCAAGTTGAAACTTCATAAAATCAAAATTAAATAAACTGTTAAAATATTTACTTAAAAAGTTTTATTAGAAATCGAATTGAATGTTTAATTTGTTGCAAAAAAAATGAATTAAGAAAGTATTGAAAGTGAATATAAAAGAATTGATGAATACGCTTGATATTAGTCAGAAAATTAAATTATTTGAATCTTTTAAAATAATATTAGTTTACAGTTTCGACATTTTGTACCTCACCAGATCATCAAATGTCGATCATTTTATACTTCAGAGGTGTTTCAGGAATATTGATAGTGACAAGTTTGTACTTAAGATCGGGTTGATGCCATTCGATTTTAAATTCTCGTAACAATCTCGTTGTCAACACTTCAATTTCCAGCTCAGCAAATCTTCTGCCAATGCACATTCGACTGCCAAAACCAAATGGCAAATAAGTGAACGGATGAGAGTCCTTAGCATTTGGACAGCCTTTTTCTGTGTTGTTCTTCAGCCAGCGCTCAGGAATAAATTCACCAGCTCGTTCAAAATGTTCTTCGTTTAATGCCAACATGTTGGAAGTCACTAAGATGTCCGTCTGTGGATGCCAAAGAGTTCAATTGAAAGTTATTAAATATTAATGAAGATCTCACCCCTTTAGGGATACGATAACCTTGCAAGACAATATCAACGTCAAGCTGTCTGACATTACCATTTGTGATTGGATGCATTCGTTGTGATTCCTTCATGACAGCTCGTAAATAAGGCGCGTTATTAAATGACGATGCAGAAAGCTTCGAATTTTTGTCTGGCAGAATTGAAAAAACTTCTTTCCGAAGAATTTCTTGCTTTTCAGGGTTCTTCGCCAAATTATACATGACAGCAGAAATAGCTGAAGACGTTGTGTCAACACCTGCAAATAACATGTCTTCAGCCATTGTCACTCCAATATTTCGATCAATTTTTATCAACTTTTCCAGAATTCCCATCTCGTGATCATCAGCCGTGGGATTTTTCTCCAATCGTTCAATTGCTTGGTCGATGTACTTTCTTAGCTCATTTCTAGTCTCCTCATAAGTTTTCATCGCTCTCTTAAATCCTGGCATTTTGTAATATCTCCAAATTGATGGTTCAAAATCATATTTATTAATGTTTTCAAAGATTATTTTGATTAGCTGTGAACAGAAAAACATTAATTAAATTTTTGAAAGAATTTTTAGAATTGTTTTACCTCAGTGATCTTAGTTGCTTCGGGATTATCCATTGCACCTAAACGTGTGTCAAGTGCAATAATTCCGATTGATTCAAGTGCCCACAACGTTAAAGTTTCCCAAAAGTCAGCTGGAGTTTCATTGTTTTCGTCACGAATTTCTCTGATTCTGAAATAAATTTTTTAACTTCGTTCATCTTCATCAAGTAAGAATAGCCAAGAAATTCACTTTTTAATGAAATCACATGCCACTCCATCAATTCCAGGAATGTAAACTTTTGTTGCACGCGGTTGCATCATAATTTGTTGGACTTTAGTTCTGAAGTCATACCATTCCTGACCTTGTCTGTGCAAACAAAGTAAAAGCTTCGATAGCCATAAATGAAAATAAAAATTTTGTCTCATCTCTCACGTGACAATTAATCCCGCACCAGCTGGATAAAGATCAGGACGTTCATGTTTTCTAAAATAAAGAATCGATTCCAGAGGTCTCCGATTTGGAAATTTTCCTTCAGTTCGAAAAACTTTCTCAATGTCGTCAGGGAGATAAGTTATGACAAGACTGGGAACACCGAAAAATCCGGGTAATGTGGCAATCGTTCCATAACTGTTTCTCCATTGTTTTATCAATTCACTTGGTGAAATTTTATAATATTTTCCTCCTGGTAAAAGCAATTGCATGAATTGAAACGCATTTTTTGGTCCGGGAATTTCGTTGAAGGACTTTGCGTCTTCAAAAGACACTTGAGTCGAGAAAACTTTAAAATGTTGATATTTAACACTTAATAAGTTATTAAAACGTGATATTTTATTAGAAATCAACATAATTAAATGGTGTAAATAGTTTTAATATCAAAATATTTTGCTTTTGTTAAACTTCGTTCGACTAAAGTCACAGAAACTAACTGAGAGTAAAATCGAAATAATTTTTTATGTTAAGAAAACACAAATAATTGTGAGAGATTCGTCGGGCCAGCGAGTTAACTCATTTTTTTCGATTCGATTTCAAGGCCGTGAGAGTAGATTTTACACACTCAGCTTGTTTTGAATCTTTATAGCACCGCCTGGTTGATCATCGTTATCGGAATATCATAAAAAGATTTTAGAGATAAAAACATTGCTGTTCAAATATTAATGCAGGTTTTGAACATTTTTGAGATGCTATCAGATATTCTATAATAGCATTAGAGCTTTAATACATTCAAATAATTCCACTTCGCACTTTACACTAAACAAGATTTACAATTACAGCTGCTATTCCAAGTTGTATTCCAAGTCATGCTTTTGAAAATATTTTTTTAAGATCCAAAAAAATTAAGGAAGATTTTCAATGCTTGAAGTTTTGTAGTTTAACTAGCAAACTTTTTCAACGATATTTGAAATATTTCGAGTCTCTTTCGCTTATGATAACGTAAAATTTCACTGTCCATGCTTTGTAGTCATGTAAACTTTCAACTGTTTTGCTCATTACATTCATTAAACACGAATAGTTTCAGAAAATGATTGAAATGAAGAATAACCAACGTAATGTTCAGGTTTTGCAAAAAACTTTGCTCGTTTTGATATTTCTGTCACCTTCCTTTATTCAATCTCAACCCTGTTAAATGTTTTTGTAGAACTTTAATTGCAATATTTAAATATAAAAGATTCTTATCGCTTAAAAAATTATTGCAAATTGCAGATTTAAATATTTAAGAAAATAATCTGTCAATGTTCTGTATCACTGTCATTAAAGCTTTTTGCATTCATTCATAATTTGTAAAATGAAAGTTCCTGAAGTTTTGATTCTTGTTCTCGTTTTTAATTCTTCGGTTTATTTTGCTTTCTCATTATCTAAAGCTAGAGATGAACTTCAAACAATTCACATTCGCGATGTTAGATGTAATTTCTCGGAAGAATTTTTCTACAAAAATAGCAGCTGCTATCCCAAGGCTTACAACCGATCTTGCTCAACAGCTAACATCATAGCGACAGGGAAAAATGTTTTTGACAATTTTTTCGTAACATTTCAAAATATGTTCCAGGAAGATTTTTAATGTTGAATTTTTGTAGCTTAATTGGAAAATGTTTTTCAAATATGGAACTATTTATCGCGAAGTTATGCACATTGAAAGAATTGATTACTGCAACGTATGGAAATTTGGATCAAGTAACAAATTGGCTTCAAAGATATTTGAAGTTATACGAGACTCTATCGGCGATGATGTCGTCAAATTTCACTGTCCATGCCCCGTAATCTTATAAACTTTATTTTCTTTCATATTTTCTCTTGATTAAATCTCAAAATTATTTTATTTTCAGGGTTTTGACATAAAAAAATTAAATATAAAAATTGAAGCATTGCCACCATTATTGCCAAGAGGAGATTATAAAACCGTGTTTGAATGGGAGTTTGAAAACAGAACAAAATATGCAAGCTTCGCTGTTATAGTGACATTATATTCGTCAAACACGGATAGTTTTGGAAAATGATTGCAATGAAGGGTAACCAGCGCACATATGGAGTGTTCTACGTCAGAATTGGAAAAAAACATAAATCTAAACTAGCAAATATTGGCGTTTTGTTAATTTTTACTGATGAAGAATACTTGAAAGTGTTTAAAAGTATCAATTACCGATTTTTAGCATCATTGGTAATCATTCTTTTTTGATACTGAAGTCAGAAAATGGTTGAAAATGAGGTTTTTGTACATTTTTTACCTTATTTTCATCATATGAATTTTCCATCAAAACATCAACTTTTGCCATATGTTTTGATGCAAGTTTTTAGTTGAAACATCATAGTTTATTATGGTATTTACACATTTTGAATATTCCTTTCTATAATTAGAAAAAAAAATTTTTATCGAGGCAATGGAATAATGCGTGTGGAGAGAGTAACGAAAACTACATTAAGTTTCATTTTCTCCGAAACTAAATAAACAATCTGTGCCAATATTTTCAGAAATGTAACTTAGGATTAAGTACTAAATTGTGGCGTACTTAGATTTTCATGCTCAAAAGGAAAAAAAATTTTAATTGCGATTTTAAAACCTGTAAAAAGAGTAACGAAAAACGTTCCTAATTTCCAAAATGTATGCATTTCTTAAGGAAATCTGAAATATTTTCACTTTTTTTCTTATAAAAACTATTAAATTTAAAGAAAAACTGAGTAAAATGAATAAATTTCAAAGGAATTTTAGAAAACTGGGAGTAATGCAGTGCTAGTGTGGCGCAAACCTAAAAATATG